TCTCTTACAACTTAACTCTTACATTTGGTCAGTCTGACAATTTAAACTGCAACACAGAGCAGATAAGTTTGTAAATCTCTAAGAAAGCAGAAAGCCCTAAAATTTATTCTCCTGTGTCTTGTTCAGCTTACCTGTGAAAATATAAGGTACACAGAAAGTGAATATATAAACGCAGTTATATCAGTATTCAGGTATAAGAAAGGACCCTCCTCTTGTTCTCTTAGTGACATATGGAATGACAAGTTCCAATGCCTATTACTACACCAAAGTGATGTCTGAGCTCTTCCTGCAGACCTCTACAGATGGCCGTGTCTCCTTCCAGTCCATCAGCAGCATGGCTGACTTCTGGGTGGTGAGTACCAATCTGGCCTGCCATGGGAACCCTGAAACTCAGCTGGACTGGGATATTCAGTTCCCTCTGAAGTACTATCTAGTGATTTCAGCAGATGTTTTGCTGCCACAAGCTTTTGCCAGCTACTAGCAATAGTCACAATAACATTTGCATTCAAAATATTAACTGATTTCAAGTATAGTGTATCCCTGAGCACTGTGTCCAGAATACTGGCTAGGCTAAGATTTGTGTGTGCCCAGAAGAGTCCATTTCTCAGTAAAACAGGCAGGATATAAAAAAATTAATTTTGGTGATATTGCACAGATAGGAAGTACTGGCCTAGAGAAGCCAAGGGATTTACTTCAGATTTCCTTGTGACACAAGTGGGATTTGAATCCTAGAGTTCAATGTCTTCTAGCTGGTGTCTTAGTAATAGGCCATGTCCATTTTCATGATATTTTGAGAACATCAAAATTAACCTGCCTGTAATTCATGCCTGGGCTTGTCTAATCTATAGATTCTTTAGGAAGAAGCTGGATTAAAATTCGCAGTGACTTTTATCAAAGAGAATGAAGGGGACAAACATCTGGGTTCTAACATATTTCTGTGAAAGAATGGGTGAAAGAATAACAAGAGCCTCAGTGAAGGCCATTGAGGTATTGCAACCACTTATCTCTGACAGCCAGAAGTTATTTGTCAATTAGAGTTGCCTTTTTCTGTCACATTAAAACACTCCAGCCAACAATGGCCCTATTGTTTCCCCACCACTGTTTCCAGGACACTAGCACATGCACTTTTCATCATTCGCAACTTGTGCCAAGGCAGTTCCTTGAGACTTGTGCTGACTGAAGTAGAAGAGACAATGAGACTTGTAGGGCTTTTGTCTCTTCATTAGGCACAGAAGGTGCCACAGACACATTACAGGCCTGTGAGAAACCAATGATGACCCTGCTGCCCAGCATCCCTCCTCTACCACCAGCCCTGATCTTTCCTCTCGTTAACGTACACGCAACACAAACTTTGGCTACTTTCCATCTTGGGGACCAGAGAGGGGTGGGTCAGGTCTCACTACCTCAATCCCAGACTAAGAGAATGTGTGAGCTGCAAAGGAGTTGTTCTCCTCTGCCTCCTTTGCAGTATGCACAAGGTCCCCTGCTGGACAACCTGTACTGGACCAAGTGGTACAACAACGAGTCCCTGGCGGCGCACAGCACGCAGTCATACATCTATTACGAGAACCTGCTGCTGGGTGTCCCACGCATGAGGCAGCTGAAGGTGAAGAACAACTCCTGTGTGGTCCACGATGACTTCAAGGAGGAAATCTCTGGCTGCTACGATGTATACTCTGAAGACAAGGAGGAAAGGGTCTCCTTTGGGCTCATCAATGGAACGGCGTAAGTACATCTAATCCAAACGAGGCTCTTCTCGTTCAAATAAGAACTGCTGAGCTGCAGGATGCCAGGGGTGAGTTTCTCACATAAGGCTGGAATTACCCTTGCAGTCAGAGGCAGAAATTCCTTTTTGTCTATCAATAATGTGTAGTGTCTTTTTGGGGGAAGTACAATAGAATGAGTTTTCATGTTGGAAAAGCCATGAAAAAATACAGTGGGAATATAGGAAGAAATTGTTGCCTATTTTTAAGAGAGCGAGAATAAATGAAGACCTTTGGGACCAGATCCATTAAATGGCAAGCTGGCATTTAGCTGGCAAGTTACTATTTGCTTTCCTCTGGGATTTCAGGAGCTAGAGAAAAGGGAGTGCAATTCTTTCATCTTGGCAACCTGTTTCTCTATAATAATGTGAGGTAACTGCAGTTTAATATCTCTGCTCACTTCTCTCTGTGTGAATCTTGATCCATGAATGAGAAGTTATTCTTCATTAGGAAATACGAGTACAAGAGCATTCTAAGCAGATGGCTGTGTAGGATGTGGTAGAAGGTAAGAGAGTAGATGCTGAGAATAACCTCCATGAAAACAAGACTGGTATAGCCAACAAACCTCAGCATTTTCCCTCCATAGTATTGCAAATCATGTTGTGTCACTGCTGGGAAGCACTAAACCAGAAAACTAACCATAATGGTTACCAGTATTACGTAGGGTCAGATCAGGAGTAGGAATTAAGTGCCAATTCTTCAATTGCTTCAATTGAAAACTGCTCTGCCCCTTGAAGATATATTTTTTTCCAGGGCACAAGGCCATATTCAAGCCTGGGCAGGTGAAGCCTTTCTTTGTGCCTTGTCTGTTGCAGGTGGAGGTACCATTCCGAGGAGGAGCTGGGTGGTTCATCTCACTGGGGAAGACTAACCAGTTACAGTGGGGGAGGATACTACATAGACCTCAAGATGACCAGAGAAGAGAGTGCTGAAGCCCTGCAGGTCTTGAAGGAGAAACTGTGGCTGGATCGGGGAACACGAGTTGTCTTTATTGATTTCTCTGTGTATAATGCAAATATCAATCTGTTCTGTGTTCTGAGGTAAGCTGAGTCCAGATGAAAATTCTTCAGCCTCTTGCATCTTCCTCAGTGCCTCAATTTATTTCTCAAAATACAAATATTTTATTATGGTCCACTGGTGGGGTAGTGGCCACCCCTCTACTACTACTGAGTGATGTCAGTAGAATTTGCATGGTTTAGTGAGAAGTCTGGGTCTTCCTGAAATAGCCAGTCACACTTCTTGTCACCTTTTACCCTTTCCTATCACAGGCAGTGAAGCAGCAGAGACATGGCTGCACAAACACATACACAATGCTTCCACTCATGGTCTGGTGGATAGTTCATGCTCAATTTGATTCCTCTCAAAATTATCTCTGAGCTTCCATCCTCTAGTTTGAAATTGTTTCCTTGTCCCTCTCAAGGTTAGTGGTTGAGTTTCCAGCCACTGGTGGTGCCATTCCCTCCTGGCAAATCCGGACAGTGAAGCTTATACGATATGTCAGCACATGGGACTTCTTCATTGTTGCCTGTGAAATTGTATTCTGTGTCTTCATCTTCTACTATGTGGTGGAAGAGGCTTTGGAGCTCCGTATCCACAAGTTTAAGTACTTCACCAGCATCTGGAACATTCTGGATGTGGTTGTCATTCTGGTGAGGATCCTTGCTCACTTTTTGGGGGAGGAATGGCAGGAGTGTGTAAGAGCCAAAATAAATGAAGGAAAGTGGAAATTATTCTAGATAAGACAAGAACTGGCACATGTTTTGCTCTAATACTAAAATGAACAGCAGAGTAAATGGACACATGCTCTTCTGTCTGGAAGAACTGCTAGGAGAAAATTCTTACAGATGCCCAAGAGACTGAAGTCAGGGTATCATTCAGCACATCAAGGCGATATTTTCATAGCCCACCACTAGACTGCAGCTCTGAAGTGGGATTGCAATGAGTTCTGTGACATTTAATTTCCATGGAAAGCACAGAAACAGTGATTACTGCAGATTATTCCTCTTCCTCTTTGCAGCTTTCCATTGTTGCCATTGGGTTTCACATCTTTCGCACCACTGAGGTGAACAGGCTGCTGGGAGAGCTGCTGGAGCACCCCAACACCTATGCAGACTTTGAATTCCTGGCGTTCTGGCAGACCCAGTACAACAATATGAATGCAGTCAACTTATTTTTTGCCTGGATCAAGGTACTGTAAGGGATCTGGGAGGTGCCAGGTCTCCGGTCAGGCCTCTCTTTCTGCACAGCTTGAGGGTTGTCTCTTCCATCCCTCTGAGTAAATGAGTGTAACAGCTATAGAACAGAGAATTTTCCTTGAAGTCATATGGTCTGTTTTGCAGTTAACCTGGGCAACTTTTCACCCTTCATTCTGGGGTCAGTTATTCAGAGGTAACCGTCAGGGATATGAGCTCAGACACTGTGGTGTAAAAGTGGTTTTAGAAAATGCTGAGTACCATGTAACTTTGCCCATCCTATACTATTTTGGTATTCTTGAGAATAATCTGCAAACCATATTTTTTTCCATTATGATCATTCAAAGAGCTGGAAATGACTCATCTGTTGACATGGACTTTGCATTTCAACTAAAGCATCTTGGTGTGGCAGAAAGCCACCAAGGGGCTCCTCATCAGCCTTAAGAGATTTGTTCTTATAGCGGTCCCTGTTTATATTTAACTTGGACAAAGGGAACAAAGTCATATGTTTATGAACCCAGAGAAGGATGGTGGCACACCTGGGATAAATGTCCTGAAGATTAAGCCACCATTCCCTAGCCACCTTTCTCTTCAGTACTTTGATCCTGTAGTGAACCTCTTGTCTTAGTAAGCACGTGCATGTGTGAGAGGGACTGACCTAGCTGGTGGTTTGGCCTAACTTTGTCCCCATTCTTCCATCCTGCAGATATTCAAGTACATTAGCTTTAACAAAACAATGACCCAGCTCTCCTCCACACTGGCACGTTGTGCCAAGGACATCCTGGGCTTTGCCATCATGTTCTTCATTGTCTTCTTTGCCTACGCCCAGCTGGGTTACCTTCTTTTTGGGACACAAGTGGAAAACTTCAGTACCTTTGTTAAATGCATGTAAGTGTGTAAGTTAGTACTGTGTTTCCATAATTTTATCAAAATAATTTTAGCTGCTTTCCACTCTTCCCCCCAGTTGCAAATCTCAATGACAATCAGACACCTGTTGTATCTCATTGTAATAAAGCCACAATAGTTAATAAGTTGCTCACAGCCTTCTGGTTGTGACTGACATCTTCATGGACAAAAGAACACAAAAAGAACACTGAGGGCTACATGCAGATTTCTGTTTTTCTGGTGTTCATCAGTAAGGACAAGAGATGGTGGATATTGGTAAGGATGTCTATTTCCATAGAAATCCCACAGATACTGATCAATATATCTGAGATGGAGGTGGGTGCATGAGCACAGTGGAAGGAAAGGAGTGTTGGGGAAGTGAGTTAAAATCCCATCTCAGACAATCCTGCAGTCCATGGGCCTGCTCAAGTAATGTGCGATGTTAATGGAGGTATCTGCTACAACAACGGTTTTCAGCTTGTGTCCCACAGACCTCTGGGCATCCAAGTCTTGCCTTTGAAGGGTCTACAAGAGAAAACAGAGATAAGGAAGCTTGAGATCAATACACTTAAACACCCATCATTATAGGGGCTATGAACTACAAAACGTTGAAGAGCACTATCCAGTTCTAATGTCCCTCCAGAGTCTCACAAACTTTCTTGCAAGAGATGGCTTCATTGAGTCAAATGCCTTTAATCAGGGAAAATTCAGATTGTTTTGGTTTTGACTCCTATTTATACCAAAACACACTTTGAACAGCCTGAATTTATGTGGAAACCATGTTTTATTTTCTTCTTGCTCTAACCAGATCAGCTTACTTCACCCCTGAAATACTATGGATGCATTTAACTTGCCACTCTGGAGTGACTTAGACCCTGCTCTGGTTTGCGCCTGTGCCCATCTGGGCTTCAGGGAGGTTCAGGACTGTTTATGTGTGCCTTTGTGTGACCCTGTGCCCTTTCTTTCCCCCAGTTTCACCCAGTTTCGGATCATTCTTGGTGATTTTGACTACAATTCCATTGACAATGCCAACAGGGTCCTTGGGCCTCTTTACTTTGTCACCTATGTGTTCTTTGTTTTCTTTGTGCTTCTGGTAAGCAACAAAGTCCTTCTTGTGCCTGTATTGAAAGCAGTATTTGAGAGACCCCTCCTGACAATCCCTGGGTTAGGTGAAAATGCTTAGAAAAGGAGTTTCAGTTACAATAGCTTTGCAGTGCAAATAGACCACAGTAGGTAAAGAGTGTGTTACTACAAGTGGGGATTTGCTTATTTAGGGTGATTAAGGGCCATCTCTTAAGGTGAAAACTGAAACTGACTGGCTTCCTAGGCAATGGATGCAGAGGAATGTTCATAATAACCAGGTTAAACACTCAGTGTCAGGAGTCCATATGTAACCTAAGATTTTGCAAGAGAAACCAAAGGTAGTATTTGAGGTAGGAACAAATATACTTTCAGCCACTGCTTTAACTGCAAAAACTTTAGAAAACATGGTGTGGCTGAAGCAGGCCTTTACTTGACCCTCTTTAATTTGCCCAAGAGATATCCCATAGGGATTGTTCCCATAGGGAAACAACTCCTTGTTTAACTAAGTCTTGCACATCTGTGTCTGTTTCTTGCTGTTTCAGCTGCTGGAGCAGGCAGGATGTCTCATGCATATTCATCTCACTGCTTCCCCTTTTCCTAGAACATGTTCCTGGCCATCATCAATGACACCTACTCAGAAGTCAAGGAGGAGCTTTCAAGCCAGAAGGATGAGCTGCAGCTCTCTGACATCTTGAAGCAGGTGATGAATAGTGAAAGCTGTGCTACTTTCTAGCTAAATCATGAAGCATTTTTTGGAAGTCCCTGACCTAAGTGGAATTTACTAGAGAGAAACAGTGGCTGCCAATCCAGACCCCCCTTCTTTGTGTGCACAACAGTCACAATTCCTTTCTGGGATAAATCAAGCTCCCAGACCTTTGCCAATGGGAAGATGAGAATGCAGGTATTGGGTGAATCCTGTTACTTTATGTAGTGTTTCTGAGAGACTTTTCTTCCCAGTATGGTCTTTGGACAAAGCTCTTTCAGTCCTTCATAAAATGTACTTTGATAACATGGCAAATCCTGCTGTGCTAAGTTGAGCCAATTACAGTGGCACAATTCTAGCAGTTAAATCTGTCTTTCCCATGGGCAATTCCAGAAAAGTTCCTGGAAGGTCACAATTCTGCTGTGAGATCAATATTTTACAAGGAATAGTATTTGAGCTGATGTGTTGGGAAATCAGATAAAGGAAGAACTGGGGTGAGAAAAGCAGAAGATTAGCATGTTAGTGTCACTTTGAAGGTGTGATTCTAGTTTGGAAATGAGGTTTATCCTGCAGTGCTTTATTTTTTGCTTGTGGAGAGCTTGAAAACTCCTGCTATTACTTAGCATATGCTCACCTGTATCACACTGCCCACTCTGCTCTACTTTTCACTGTTCTGCGTGCATGATTCTGTGTCTATGTCTTTGGTCACAGAGCTACAACCGGACACTCACGAGGCTGAAGCTGAAGAAGGAGCAGATTTCTGATGTGCAGAAAGCCCTGCAGAATGGAACAACACAACTGGACTTTGAAGACTTCAAGAACAGCTTGAAGGAGTAAGTGAGTCAGTTTGAGGGATGTCCACTTAGTCCTTTCTCTTAGTAATACAGGTAATTTAAATTTTCTGCTTTTCAAGACAAGAAGAGTGATTAGCTCAGATCTGGGCAATTTAAGAATAAAAAATTATCTTTTCTCAAATATTTAATTTCCTGTTCTAAATAGGATTGTATAACTATCTCTTGCCCATTTGGGATGTTTAGGTTTATCAGTGACAGGAGGAAACAATACACTGATTTCAAAATTCCCACTCTGTTACAGCTTAACTGTATAATTCTATGCTTTGAGCTTTCTCTTTCTATTCATTTGCAGACTGGGCCATGCAGACCATGAGATCACAGCAGCTTTCTCCAGATTTGACAAAGATGGCAACCGCATCCTTGATGAAGAGGAGCAACAGCAGATGAAGCATGACCTAGAGGCAAAAAGGGTAAAAAAATGGGCAAGGAAAAAAAAAATTTTGTTTGGCAGACATCACTGCAAAGTGGCCTCAGGAATCTTTGGGTTTATAGTATGAACTAAGCAGGCAACTAAAATATAGTTCCAACTCCACCTGCATGCAGCTGAATGTATTGTTGCCTGTGAAGCTCTGTGTCATTGACAGTAAAGCCAGCCACAGAGTTAGTATCCATATTTGCAGGAGTTCCTTTGTTTTCCAGGTTGCTCTGAATACAGAGATTGAAAATTTGGGGAAATCCTATGCTGACAACAACCTGGATGAGAATCTGACCTACATGGAAGCAAGGAATAACCACAGCAATAAGGCCACCTGGGTCTCCAAAGAAGAGTTCCAAGTGTATGTTTGTGCTGTCAGTAGTTTAAACACCCAGCAAATGAGGGGTCCAATTTCCTGCTGCTTCCTTCCCTGATGTAACTCTTTACAGTGATGCTGAGCAGTTTCAGTAAGATCTTGTCCCTTTTATCTTGCACATGTGTAAATAAGCAGGTCAGGAGATAGCTGGGACTGTTCTAGTAACGTAGTTTACTTCTTCCTGTAAAAGACTCAATTGAGGAATTTTGCTTTCTGCTTCTTGATTAACCTCTTCAGCTGTCATCTAGCCACAGGCATTATGCTGGCATGTTTCAGGTCAGAAGGTGGCCCAAATAACTGGGTGAGGGAAAGCTGGTACCTTTACAGAAGGTCCTGTAGCAATAAATATCCCTGATTTATAGCCTAGTTGGCCTTTATCCTTCAGTTCCAAGAATAACACTTGACTATTTTCTCCATAGGAGGAGCACAGGATAAACACAGCAGAGTGAATCAGTATATCTTGATTCTGCTACTGAGAAACACTGAGCAAACCCCATAGGGCCATATCAAAGGAGAGGCAGGTGCAATATTTAATAATGGAATTATGCTGTGTCTAGATCCATCCTAAAGAGAACCACTGATTACAGATGAAAACACAGTGTAGCAGTAGGTGACATAATCAGTGATCTGGGAGCATTCACTTCTATTTGAGGTCTCTGGGAGATGTCTGCAGCAAATCCCTTGACTCATCACAGGAAAAAGCTTACAAATGCTCTCCATGTCTCCCTCAGCCTCCTGCATCGTGTGCTGCAGCTGGAACAGTCCATAAACAGCATTGGCTACAAGATTGATGCAGTGGTGAACAAGCTTGATGTGCCAGAAAGAAAAGAGCTGAAGAAGAAGGATCTGTTGGGCAAACCACTGGGTGATGTTAGCAAGGTTGGTAGCCCTCCACCATGCATTTGAACCAGCTTCAGATCAGGTGACTAGCTCTGCTGGGAGAAAAGGCCTGGTATCATCTTTGCTTTTCCAATCTTCATTGACTTCAGATAAAAAGGCTTGGGCAGGGTATATGATCAATCCTTTTCTGTTTAACCAAAATGACATAAAGCCTCTTGTTTTCATGTCCCCACGATTAACCCTAATACCTTTAAACACATCTTCTGGCTCCTTTGAGGCCAGACTCAACTCTATGGGAGTGGGTAAAATTTACTTATTGTCAGTTGCTTTCTAGCTGCTCATCTTCAGGCATTAAAATTATCAAACTGTCCTTTCCAGCAAGAGCAGCTCATGGCTGTTGTGGACTGTGATCTTAACATCTTGCCTGTGGATCATTCATCACATGTGTGGTGGAAGATTGGCCAACCGTGTGCTTATAGCATAACACTGTGACTTTTGCCAAAGAGTGCCCATATTGAGTCAACCAGTGTATTTTGGATCTTCAGCTTTAAAGTCAAAGGCAGCAAGGCATGTGGGAGCCATGTCACTACTCCATGGTTTTGTGGCTTCAACAATGAGAATAGCCAAACAGCACAAAGTGACCTAGCAGAGTCAGAAAGAAGTCTCCCTTTTGCAGAGTAGTCTTGCTATCCCTTTGCATTTGAAAGAGTGCTTTGGGAGGTCCTACTCCTTTGAACATGCCCAAAATCTTATGCAAGTGTTTGCAGATTTGCTGTGCCACAGCATTTCTGTGAAGGTGCTCATAAAGGATGAAAAGGGATGAATCTCTCCTTGTTTGTCTAAAGCTTGAATGTGCATTCATCAGTGTATTGGATCTTTAATAGGCAGGCTTGTTCTAATTTCTGAGAGAATGTGGGAAGATGTTTTAGTATCATGCACACCTTGCCTCTCTCCTACAGTGTTGCTAGACTTCTTGGTAGCTTGCTGACATTGCAGGTCACACTTTCTTCTTGTTCACAGGAGGAAGAAGCCAGTCAGGAAGAGCTGCACCTCCAGAGCCTAGACCAGCTGGGAAAAGAAGGAGAAAGTCGGGGGATAGAACACATACAGAGAAACAACATGAGTGGCAACTCTTCCCAAAATGGGGTCTATCACATCTTGCCCAAGTCAAGTGTGCTGGGGTCTCAGGTGCCCAAGAACTTCTAGCCAGTCTAGAAGAACTTCCAGCCAGTTATAGCAGTGCTCACAGCCCAGTGCTCCCAGTCTGGCTGCCATGGTACCAAGTCACTGTCAGTTGTTCCCCCACTATTAGGATAATCCAGAGAGCTGGACACAGACACCACTCTTGCCAGGAATTCTTAATGTGAAAAATCAGGGATGCTATTCTCCAGTGTAATGATGTATGACATCACAGAGCTAGAACTTCTGTCCCCCTTCACCTTCTCCCCTGTACCATATGTCAGGAAGAGGTGAAATTTGGCACTAGGTGATATATTAGGTTTCTGCCTCTGAACAGGCTGGCACAACATTGTCTATCTAGCCTTCCCCAAAACGTAGGGAGCCCAGAATTCTGACCGTTTGTGTCCAGATAAGCATATTGCAGCTTGCTCCCAACACACGCTGGTCTGCAGGAGACAGATATGGCTGTCACGTAAAGAAAGCAGAATGTAGTCACCAGTGTGAAATGGGAAGAAGAAATGTAGTTTTTTCTACCTGGTTACGGCCAGTTTTGTTCCGTTGTAGTTTGTTTCCATATTACCTTGGTAACCCTCTCTGTACCTTAGGTTCAGGTGTTGAGGAAAGAGGTTACTGGTGCTTAACTGGATAACAATAAGATACAATAAGAGTTGACACCAGTGTAACTGGGAGAAGGTCTGAAATATTCTAAAATGAGAAGCAGTTGGTGGAGTCCTAGGTCTGAGTGTTAGGGAACAAACTTCTAGTTATATGATTTCTAACATAGCTGTTGACAGTAAGAAATATGTCATTTATTTTCACACTCCTTAAATTGCACCTTGCAAACTAGCACCCCATTTATGAAGTTTGATGCTTCTTGTTTTTGTGAAGGAAACAAATTTGCAGTTATGAGCACTGACACCATTTGCATTGAAGAATATTGTGAAAATGAGTGTCAGTTTTTTTACCACATGCAAAATACTTTTTTTCCAAGCATTTTTCTGTTTGCTGAGGCTTCTCTTTTTCCTTGTAATTGGTGCAGGCTATTGCTGCTATTACAGGGCCATTGTAAATATATTTCAAATACCTTAATGACTGATATTCTGCCACAGTTAACCTCAAATAGGGTCCATAGGCTTAAAGCCAATAGAAATGTGAGCTGTACTAGACCACTGCTAACAGTTCTCATTACTGCTATACTGTTTAGTGTGCAGTGCAGTGACAGGTTTAGCTGGGACCTTGTGCAGAAGCATCCTGTATTGCCACCTTTTTTAAGATGGATGTTCACTGCATTCTGGGGAAAGCTTCTGGCAGTGTCTGAAGGGCCTCAGGGTGAGCCCTGTCCTCAGATGGGCCAGGTTTCAGGGCTGCCACAGCCACAAGATAGTCTTGGTAAATTGAAGCAGACTGTCAATCAACTCCAAGGGCCCGCCAGGAGCTGTGAGAAGGAGCTTGTTGCCCAGCCCACAGGGAGCTTAGATTTCAAACAGGAGCTATAGAGGCAGGAACTGCAGGGTCTCATGATTCACTTCCCATCATCAGCTGGTCCTGCTGTTGGGGGCAAGACTGTGAGATATTGCCATGTTTCTTCACTCCCAGTTCCACTGAATTCAGAATTGAGCAGAACGTCTTACCTTCAGCTTTTCTGGCTGAAAACAGAACAATGGTGTTGCTTACATCCTCCTCCTCTCTGCATTGAAGCTATTATCTTGTTCAGAAGAAAACAGCCTGTCAGGAGAACTTCCTAAAATAGGCTTTTTTCCCCTCCAAATTTTAATTAAACAGAAAATTCATATGCTAAACTGTGACTGAACAGAGGAACTATGTGCTCTATAATGGGCTCAAATAGTGCACACAGCCCTTTGTAGTCAATTCATCAGGTCTTCTGTGATTTGAAAGGCACAGAGGAAGGTTCTTATAAATTAATTTGTAAGACCTTGTTTTAGATCCTGGCTCCAGAGTAGACTACAAGTATACCAAGGCATAATTGCAAAGCAAGAAAAAAAATGGCTGCTCTTTTGAGGTCTCTGAAAGTGTCTGCCTTTGCCATGAACTCAAATTACTGGATGAAATTCTGAGTCTGTATTACTGCACAGATAACAAATGCTTGGGATGCTGATCTTTTAGGAACTAAGTCTGGCATTTTTGGAGAGATCCAAGCAGCAGTTGTCTGCTTCAGGTGGCTGAACCTGTGCTAGTAGCCAGAGTAAGATATGTTGCTGGCTGAGGCTGAGCTTCTTAACCCAGAAATAACTACTGTGAGGGTAACAGGATCCTGAAATCAGGTTCTGCCAAGAAAATGAAAGTAAAACTTACGATCTGTAAAGCTTGGCTTTACAAAGCCTCAGATTTCTCACAAGGGAGAGCGTTGTTTGGCTGCTCTGTTCAACAGAGAAGGTGACTCAGAACCTCCCTTTCTGCATTGCCCAGTGTTTCTTTCTGTTTCCCTTCTAAGCCAAACCCCAAGACCAGCCCCACACATAACATCCCACTGTGGCAGGGGTGCTGCAGCCACAGCAGCACAGTGTAAGAGCCCTGCCTGTCACTAGACACCAAGATAACCTTCACCCCCTGCTCCTTTCTGCAAGGGACTCCCGTAACTATCAGGGAAGGCAGGTGAAGTGCAGAAGTGTGACAGCTGAACTCAGATCCGTGGGACAGTGACCAAGAGCATCAGACAACCAGCTCCCAAGCACTGAGTCTGCTCTTTAGTCTGCCTGAAATTTGGGAAGCCAGTTTTCCCCTGCAAAGGAAGAACATGGGAGTGTCCACATGCCACTGCAGCTGTGAGAGATGTCTGCCCCTCACTCCGCCTGTCTCTGGTAAAGGCAGGAGACTCTAGCCCGGTTTGCCAGAGCTCTCCCCTTCTCTCTGGCAAGGACAGCCTGGCAGCTTCCTCTCCCTTGGACTTGGGGGGCAGCACTCAGCCTGCCATGCTGAGGAGCCCTAAACCTGCTCTGGCTGTGATCAGACAAGAACTGCAGGCTATAGTGGTCTCCCAGGTCAGCTGTTTTTCCCCTTCCTGGCAGAAAGACCACTTCCCCCTGTGGTGTGATTTTAGTAGTGCTAGTGCTTCTCAGTGTAAAACAACTTCTGTTACTGGCGCGTGCCTGCATTAATCTCATATTTCATGTACATTTTTATGCCACTAACTGTGCCTTGTCTGTTCTTTGTGCAACTGTCAATTGTGTTTTCCATGCTGGTTGAAAAGTAACATCAATACACCAAATGGTAAGTTCATACAGCTTTTCTTTCCAAATACATGTTGTCAGGCCTCCCATCAGGAGCTGATATTACTTAGATGATACATGCCTGATGGGTAAAGTAAAGTATTTGTTCCTCAAAAGAAAAGGTGTGTGATTGTGTTTTGGTTCAATCTATAGAGCGTAGCCTTCCAAACTGCACTGGACCAGCTGTGCCTTGAAGTGGTTAAAATCTTGGGGAAGAGGTTTGGAGAAGCATAAAGTCCTTTGAAGAGATTCAGCAGTTATCACTGTTATTTATGTTGGCACTAGCAGTGGATGTAGTCTGAGGCCCACTCTGGCAGGTGTGTGTGCTCCTGATCCAGAGCCAAGGGGGAAGGAAAGCGTGTCCTAGCCATGATTTCAAAGCACAAGTGAGGCAGAGAGAGATTCATGGATGTGTGCAGGGAAGGGCATGGCAGTGATGTCCGAGAGGAGGCTCAGGCATTGGCAATAAGCAGCCCCAACCAGCTGTGGCCATGAGCACGGGAAGCTCCTGGTTGTGTCTCCCCAAGAACATGATGCCAATAGTCTTAACAATGAGCAAGCCTAACTTTTCACGTTTTAAAGGAACACAAAAGAAATCCCCCGACCTCCTACAAATACAGCCAAGCTTATCAGCCTGGTTCGTTTTACCAGCAGATGTCAGTCAGCGCTACTCACAACCTTTTGCACCTACAGTCCCTTCTCTTCCATTTTCAATGCACAGAAACAAATCTGTCGTTTGTTTTACTGAAAGAAATTGAGATACAGAAACACTCCGTTCGTGGTGAGAGAGAAAAGACAGAAGCAAAATCCATGGATTCCAACAGGTAATTTACAACACTAGACCCTCACACTTCAGAACTTGTTGCAAGCTTTATCTATCTCAGGCAGGTTATAATTCTCCCTACAACCTGTAAAAAGGATTTGTACAGGTTTTGCTAATTTTTTTCAGTCTTGTGAAAAGCTCTTAGTGAGTGCTATTATTAGCCTGGAGCTGCTGCTAACTGGTCTTTAGCACCAAAGGTTGTTAGCTGGAGGCTGCCCTGCCCCTGTATGTTTTACAGACACACCCTAGAAGGAGTCCTACGAGAAAAAGAGCAACACTGGGGAACAACTATCAGTATTCAGAGTTTATCAGCAATAATGAAAAAGGGAGGGGAGTAGTCAGTACCTGATGATCTAGCAAATTACGAGCCCAGATGATGCGCCATCCTTTTGCTGGTCACACAAACCCTAATTCCAGGTCTCCAAACATGAAAGCAAGGAGCCTGGGAGTGGAGAGCAGTAAAAGTAGCAGGAACTTCAGTGAGTGCCAGGTCCCCATGCCCGGCCTCAGAGGTTAAGGGATGTGATAACGTGAATGTGCTGGGTTTTGGAGAGGCATGGCACAGTTCAGCACCTCTGGCCCTGCTCATGGCCCTTTTATAGAGGTGGCAAATGCCAGGCGCAGCTCATTGCCAGCCAGCCATGCTGTACACATGCGAGGCACTCAGGCAGATGACAGAAGGGTGCCAGCCCCGCGGGGTGTGGTGAGATAAAGCCCTGGCTGAAGAGTGCTGAAGGAGGAGTGCAAAAGTTCAGTTGACAAAACAGAAGCTGTTCAGCCTGGTCTCCAGCCTGAATCAGCCAGCTTTGCTGAGGCGTGCCATAGCAAGTTACCAAGAG